GAGTTGAACACAGCAAGGGGAGGGAGGCAGAAGCCTGAGACTGAGATCTTGGCAGGTGTAGCTCTGGCCAATGGAGAACGATGGAGGATTCTCCGATGCTTCTCCCTGACCATCTTTTGGGACTTCAGGATGGGAAAGAGGAGCATTGAGGAGCGAATTCAGGAGGAGGCCAGCTACCTACTGGAGGAGTTCCAGAAGACCAAGGGTATGGGGGCCACAAGGGGGAGGGCCACTAGGTGACTGGGTGGTTATGGAGCTCTCAGTCATAAGAAAATGGGCTTTCGTGGGGGAAAGCTCTGGAATGGAAGAAGAGGGAAAATATTAAGAATCCACTGGGATTTCTGGCCAGCTTCCGTATTAAGAGTTTACATGAGCTGGGCATGGTGGCACAGGCCTGTAGTCAGCCACTTGTGGGGCTGAGGCTGGAGGTTGCTTGAGTCCAGGAGTTCAAGGTTGCAGTGAGCTATGATCGTGCCACTGCACTTCAGTATGGGAGACACAGTGAAACTGTCTCTTAAAAAACAACAACAACAACAAAACAGTTAACATGGAAGACCCTTAGGGACCACTCATCTAGAAACTGTAATCAGTGGATCTCAGGGGGTCTGTGAGCTCTTGATATCCTATGCGGATATTGGTGACGTGACTTTGTGACTTTTCCTGAAGACAGGCTCAAATTTCATTACATTTGTCTATCTGTACTGTGGTAAAAAAAATACATAACATAAAATTTACCATATTCACCATTTTAAGTGTCCAGTTCAGTACTGTTAAGTATATTCATGTTGTGAAAAAGATCTTTTGAACTTTTTTATCTTGCAAATGTGAAACTCTATACTCATTTCATTGTGTTTTTAGAAGAGTTCAGTCTCACCAAAAAATAAGGTCTAGAAACACTGGAGTCTATAGAGAAAAGATACAGAGGCTGAAAAACAAACAAACAAACAAACAAAAAAACCAGAAAAATAGATAAGAGGTAGAAATGGAGACACATTTTCTCTACATCCGAGGCTCCTTGCCTGGTCTACGTGGGTGATTAACAGGTCTATATAAAAGCTTCAAATGCCCATGTACCCCAGACATTATTCATAAAATTGTGTATTTGTGAATATGTGCATTATTCTAGAGAAATTCTTCCCAGATCTACTGATCTTGTTTTACAGAAGGTGTAGGTGAGGGCAAGGGAAAGGTTTTGTTTTGTTTTGTTTTGAGACAGAGTCTTGCTCTTGTTGCCCAGGCTGGAGTGCAGTGGCATGATCTCAGCTCACTGCAACCTTCACCTCCCAGCTTCAAGTGATTCTTCTGCCTCAGCCTCCTGAGTAGCTGGGATTACAGGCACCTGCCACCACACCTGGCTAATTGTTGTATTTTTAGTAGAGACAGGGTTTTGCCGTGTTGGCCAGGCTGGTCTCCAACTCCTGACTTCGTGATCTGCCCACCTCGGCCTCCTAAAGTGCTGGGATTACCAGGCATGAGCCACCACATCCGGCCGGGAAGGATTTTTTTAATTGCCCAAATGGAATCATCGGTAGAGCTAGACAGAATTCAGGAACTTTTATAATGTGTCCCTTATCCCACTTTTCCCCAAATATGTGAGTCTCTAACATCAACACATTTAAGTAATAATAATAAAAAATAATGCTTAAGCTCAGCTAGGTTTTCTTGAGTGCTTACTGTATGCCAGGCTTTGTGTTAATTATTTTATACGGATAATGATATTGAATCCTCATGAATCGGTGAAGTGGTTCCCAAACCAATTTGCCAATTGGCCAATCTAGACCCAAAACACAAAAATGAAGTGGCTCACACATGCAATTAAGTAGTAGAGCTGGGACTCAGCTGCATCACTGTGACTCCACACCCCATATTCATGACCATGGCCTCCAATATAAACAATTTCCACTGCCCAGGTGCCCCCATCGACCCCACCTTCCTGCTAAGCTGCAGCGTTTCCAACATCATCAGTTCTGTTGTCTTTGGAAGTTGCTTTGACTATGAGGACAAACAGTTCCTGAATCTGCTGCGATTGATCAATGAGAGTTTCATTGAGATGAGCACTCCCTGGGCGCAGGTGCCCACCCAGTCACCTCTCTTTCCATGCACCAACCCCAGTTAACTAAACACTTTCCTATACCCTACTTGATCCTTCCCAGACGCCTGGGAGGTGAGTACAGTAGTTCCCCCTCATTGCTGGGGGATATGTTCAAGATCCCCGTGGATGCCTCAAGCCATGGATAGTACCCATTCTATAGATACTAAGTTTTTCTGGTATATACATATCATGATAAAATTCAATGTATAAATTGAGTGCAGTAAGAGACTGGCATTCATAAGTAATAAAATAGAACAATTATAACAATATATTCTAACAACAGTTATGTGAATGTACTCTTTCTGTCTCAAAATATCTTATTATATGTAATATTTTTAGACTGCCATTGACTGCACACATAACTGCAATGGTGGAAGGCAAAACCAAGGTGAGGGGGAACTACTGTCTCAATAGGACCCAACTTCTGGGAAGCAAAAGGGCCTCACCTGATTCTTAGACCCAGCACTGGACTTTGAGCCCAGCTGTCCAACTCCAGACTCAGCCCATGCGGGCCCCTGGCACCCATCAGTGACAAAGTCCCCTTACCTATTCCCACAGCTATATGACATGTACTCTGGAATCATGCCGTATTTGCCAGGAAGACACAATCGCGTCTACTACTTGATAGAACAGCTCAAGGACTTCATTGCCTCCAGGGTCAAGATCAACGAAGCATCCTTTGACCCCCAAAACCCTCGGGACTTCTTTGACTGCTTTCTCATCAAGACGCACCAGGTACCTCCTCTTCTTCCACTGGTCCTTCTCTCTCATTTCCCCAACCTCTAGTCCCTGCAACTTTCCACCAATCTGCAAACATTGAGGGCAAAACAAAACAAAACAAAACATAAAAAAACTAGCATTATTTCACAGCGTTTACTTTTATCTGTAGATGAATATAGAAACTGCAAAAGTATAAACTGTTACAGCTTTAAAACAGACTCTGAATCTAGAAATTTTAGGAATTTGGAAAATTTAGGAACTTGGAAACTAAAAATCTTACACCTTATACATGCCAGAGAGTTACAACTGTAGTTTTGAGTCTTAGAATTTCAGAAACTTAGAAATTTAAAGTTTTGAAGTGTAAGACTTTAAACATTTAAGTTAAAGTTAAAAGATTTGAATGTGTAGGGACAGTAGGGTATAGAATTTAAATTTCCAAGGCCAAATGTTCGCTAACATAAAAATATAAATTTACAAATGTATAAAACTCTAAGAAATGATGATGCAGAAATGTTAACCTTCTGAATTTGTATAGCCCTCCACTTCCCTCCCCTTCCAGCCTTACCCTCCACCTCATGAGCAGCAGTACGCAGTAGTGCAGGGTGGTGCTGACGGTCTCGGTGCCCGCAAAGAAGAGGTTCAGCGAGGTCAGCACCAGGTTCTTCAAGTAGAACTCCATGTTTGGGTTCTTCTTCTCCTGCAGGGAGAGGGGGCTTTAGGCCAGTCTCACTCCTCTTGCCCTTAAGGCGTGCCACCACATCTGACTAATGTTTTAAAAAATTTTGTCGTAAAGACCGCCTCCTGCCATGTTGCCCAGGCTGGTCTCAAACTCCTGGGCTCCAGCAGTCCTCCTTCCTCAGCCCCACAAAGTGCTGGGATTTCAGGTGTGAGCCACTACACACAGCCCAGATTATTTATTTATTTATTTATTTATTTATTTATTTATTTATTTATTAGTAGACTGGGTTCATGCCTGTAATCCCAGCACTTTGGGAGCCTGAGGTGGGCAGGTTTATTTTCTGAGATGGAATCTTGCTATGTCACCCATGCTGTAGTGTGGTGGTGTGATCTTGGCTCACTACAGTCTCCACCTCCCCAGTTCAAGAGATTCTCCTGCCTCAGCCTTCCAAGTAGCTGGGATTACAGGCGTGCACCACCATGCTCAGCTAATTTTTGTATTTTTAGTAGAGATGGGGTGAAACCTTGGCTCTACTAAAAATACAAAAAAATTAGCGAGCTGTGGTGGTGGGCACCTGTAATCCCAGCTACTCTGGAGGCTGAGGCAGGAGAATCGCTTGGACCCTGGAGGCGGAGGTTGCAGTGAGCCGAGATCGTGCCAATTGCACTCCAGTCTGGGCAACAAGAGCGAAACTCCATTTCAAAAAAATAAGTTACCTAGTCTGTAATATTTTGTTATAGTAACATGAAACAGAGTAAGATAGATAGATGATTGATTGACAGAATAGAACAAATCATATTGGGAATGGGTTAAAATGTTAACCTAAGGTGAATCTGCTTAAAGAGTTATTATTTTTTTTTTTTTTATTATACTTTAAGTTCTAGGGTACACGTGCACAACGTGCAGGTTTGTTACATATGTATACATGTGCCTTGTTGGTGTGCGCACCCCCATTAAGATCGTCATTATACTTACGGTATCATTCCTACAATGCCTATCTCCCCCCAACCCTGTCCTGCAATAGGCCGGTGTGTGATGCTCCCTTTCCTGTGTCCAAGTGATCTTCATTGTTGCATTCCCCCCGTGAGTGAGAAACATGGCGGTATTTGAAAGTGAGAACGTGCGGGTATTTTGGCTTTCTGTTCCACATGCCGATATTTGGGGCTGAGAATGATGGTTTCCCGCTGCACAGTTACCAAAGGACGAACTCTCCTTTTTTCATGGCTGCATAGTATTGGTATATGTGCCACACCTTTTCTTCATCCAGTTCTGTTGATCGGCCATTTGGGTTTGATCCAAGTTCTTTGCTATGGTGAATAGTGCCAGCAATAACATACGTGTGCATCGTGTCTTTTATAGCGCATGATTTAATTTGGGGTTTCCAGTATGGGATAGCTTGTCCAAATGGCATTTACCTCAGTTCTACGATCCTGGGAATCCCAACACACTGTTTTCCACCAATGGTCTATACAGTTTACAGTCCCACCAACAGCTGTAACAAGTGTCTTCCTATTTCTTGCCCATCCTCTTCAGCACCTGTTGTTTCCTGATTTTTAATGATTGCGAATTCTACAGCTGGTGGATCAGATGGATCCTCATTGTGGGTTTTCGATCTTGCATTTCTCTGATGGTGATGTCATGATGAAGCCATTTTTGTCATATGTCTGTGTGGCTGTATGAAGCTTCTTTGAGAAGTGTCTGTTCATCATCCTTGCCACTTTTTGATGGAGGTTGCTTTTTTTTTCTTGTAAATTTTGATTGAGTTTATAGGCTTCTGGATAATGGCCCTTTGTCAGATGAGTAGATCTGCAAACAATTTTCTCCCATCTCTGAGGTTGCCTTGCTCAGCTCTCGATGGTAGGTTTGCTTTTGCCTGTGCGAAGCTCTTAGTTTAATTACGATCGCCCATTTGTCATTTTTGCTTTTTGCGCATTGCTTTTGGCTCGTTTTAGATGTGAAGTCCTGCCAGTGCCATGCCTGAATGGTATTACTAGGTTTTTTCTAAAGGATCTTTTCATTGTTTTAGGGTCTAACCATTTAAGTCTCTAACCATCTCTGAATATTTTTAATATAAGGAGTAGAGACGCGCATGCACGTTTCAGCCTTTCCTACATTACCGCTAGCCAACTTCTTCCGCAGCAGCATTTATCTAAATAGGGAATCGCTTTCCGCGCATTTCTTGTTTTTGCTCAGTTTGTTCAGAATCGATGGCTGGAGATGTGTGGTATTATTTCTCTGACGGGCTCTGTTCTTACCAAGTCATGCTGCGCTATAAAGACACCCATGCACACGCGTATGTTTATTGCGCGGCCACTCATTCAGCCATAGGCAAACGACTTGGAATCAACCCAAATGTCATCAGTGACAGACTGGATAAGAAAAAGTGGCACATATACCAGGCCATTCGGAATACTATGCAGCCATAAAAAAGGATGAGTTCGTGTCCTTTGTAGGGACCTGGGTGCAGCTGGAAACCATCATTCTCAGCAAACGATCACAAGAACAGAAAACGAAATACCGCATGTTCTTACTCATAGGTGAGAATTGAACAATGAGATCACTTGGACACAGGAAGGGGAACATCAAACACTGGGTCCTATTGTGGGTGGGGGAGGGATAGCATTAGGAGATATACCTAATGTAAATGACAAGTTAATGGGTGCAGCACACCAACATGGCACATGTATACATATGTAACCTGCACGTTGTGCACATGTACCCTAGAACTTAAAGTATAATAATAAAAAAAAATACTGAAATAACAACTCTATCAACCCAGGATTCTATATCCAGCAAAAATAACTTCCAAAAACAAACACAAAATAAAGATATTTTTAGATGTACAAAAGTTTAAAGAATTCATCACTGGTAGGTTTACAGAGTAAGAAATGTTAAAGTCCTTCAGGCAAACTACATTGTTACTAATTTTGTTCAAACAATCAATTATTCTTCTAAATGTTTAAATAATAGGGGAAAATCTTATATATTTACCGTTTCTGGTGCTCTTCATTCTGTTGTGTAGACGCGTATTTCCATCTGGTCTCGTAGTTTTGTAGTTTTCCTTGTAAAAGTCTTTTACCTCCTTGGTTAAATTTATTACTGTTTTTTTTTTTTTTTTTTTTTTTTTTTTCCGGGAGCTATTTTAAATGGGATTGCTTTCTTGATTTCTTCCTCAGCTAGTTATTGGTGCATAGAAATGCTACTTTTTTGTCTGTTGATTTTGTATCTTGAAATGTTGCTGAATTTATTTATCAGATGTAAGAGTTTTTTTCATGGAGTCTTTCGTTTTTTCTAGAAATAAGATCATGCTGTCAGCAAAGAGAGACAAATTGATTTTCTCTTTTTCAATTTGGATGCCCTTTACTTATTTTTCTCTTGTCTGATTGCTCTGTCTAGGACTTCCAGTACTGTATTGAATAGGAGTGGTGAAAGTGATCATTCTTGTCTTGTTCCAGCTCCTTCAGAGAAGTTTTCAGCTTTTCCTCATTTAGTATGATGTTAGCTGTGAGTTTGTCATATGTAGCCTTTATTTTGTTGAGGTATGTTTCTCCTGTGCCTAATTTGTTGAGAGTTTTTGTCATGAAGGGATGTTGCATTTCACCAAATGCTTTTTCTGTGTCTATTGAGATGATCATATGGGTTTTGTCCCTCATTCTGGTGATGTGATGTGTGATGTAACGTGTGATGTATATTGATTTACATATGTTGAGCCATCCTTGCATCCCTGGGATAAATTCTACTTGATTATGGTGTAATCATACCATAATTTTCAATGTATTGTTGGATTTGTTTTGTGTATTAGTCCATTCTCACATTGCTATAAATAAACACCTGAGACTGGGTAATTTATAAAGAAACTAGGTTTAATTGGCTCATGGTTTCACAGGCTGTACAGGAAGCATGATGATGGCACCTGCTCAGCTTCTGAGGAGGCCTTAGGAAACTTTTACTCATGGCAGAAGGCAAATCGGGAGCCAGTGTCTTCACATGGCCAGAGCAGACAGAAGAGAAAGAGGAGGTATGTGCTATGCAGTTTTACAAGGCCAGCTATCATGAGAACTCAATTACTATACAGTGCAAAGGAGGGATGGTGCTAAACCAAGAGAAATCGCCCCCATGATACATTGGGGATCCATGATGGATCCATGTTCCATTGCAGCAGGCTCCACCTCCTACACTGGGGATTACAATTCCATATGAGATTTTGGTGGAAACACAGATCTAAATCATAGCAGTTTGGTAATATTTTGTTGAAGATTTTTTGTCTATATTCAGCAGGAATATTGGCTTATAGTTTCCTTTTTTGTTGCTGTGTCTGGTTTTGGTATCAGGGTAA